TGTGGGGTGGGGTGAGGAGGAATTTAAACTTTCACAAAAACACTGACTTTCAGTTAATGCTGTTCAATGCAATCCCTTAAGATCAAGAAATTCAGAGCCAACATTCCTATTCAGTTTGAAACTTTTACCACACACTTATGCACGTGTGCACACATGCTGCAAAGGCCAAACAAACCTGTTCCCCAGTTCAGAGCTCACACAGCGCATATTACGATCCAACTGAACCCGACAAGCTGAGTTCGGAGGCAACACTTTTTTTGTAATCTCTTTCCTTGGCCCAGCTGTATAGTTGGGAGAACTGTTGGACAGGCTTTCAAGCATCAGATGCCCTTTTTGGTGACCTGAGAAAGGGAATAAGGCACCCAGTAGCTTGTTCAACAGCTCTCCCAACTATACAGTTGGTTCAATTAAAACAAACAAACAAACCAGAAAAAAAGCCTAGTCTCTCACCACTATGAGAACACTCCATGAATGAGCTGAACTCATTCATTTTTACTTTGAAGTAAAAATTTCCCAGGCATGTCACCATTACCTGCATGACCCAGTTTGTCACCGTCACCTGTATGCCCATGGCCAATTTGTGTGAATCAGTGTGAGGTGGGAGTGCAGCTTCTGTGTTTCTGTTGGACTGTCAGGAATGGGGTGTGTGCATTAAATTTTAGACCCCTAGTGAATCTGTCAAGCGTGCTTGGGTGTGCTGATGTGTGGGTGGGATGACACATGGGCTAGGACTGTGTGTGAATGCTGTTCTAAATGGCAATTCCCTTGATTTTTTACTGATGAGATTGCTCAAACACCAGAAGGGAAACAGAAGGAAGACAAAATGTATTATCTTTAAATCTCATGGTTTTAACCCCATTTCATGGCTGTTAGGACTCTACCTCATCATTTTTTAACACTTGCAGTTAGGGATACATTCATTATTCTGACCCTGTACCCAAATCCCAACAGTAAAAGAGAAAATCCTCCACTGGCAGGGGAAGGAATGGGCTTCTCACATCTTCTGGATCATCACAGCTATAACAGCACTTCAAAGCCTTGAGCTATTTCCCAGCTCTGAGTGGCACAGTTCTGTGACTGCACATGTCAAACAAGGCGGATTTGCAGGCGCCTACATTTGCAGACACCACTGTTTCTTGTCTGCAAAGGGCTCTGCATGCCAGAAGCTCTTCCCAGGGAACTGAGTGCTCAGTCATGCCTTGAAGTGTATTGGCCTGTAATAGCCATGTGGTCTACCAGGAGTCCCCAGAGACATGGTACCTCAGGGAGTGCTGCCATTGCTGTGTATGCCCTCCTGTGCCATAGTCCTTTTAGGTAGCTAACACAGTAACCCAAATGTCTAGCTGCTGCTGGCTCCTGTGTGAAGACTGTGATGAAGCTCTTTGTGCCCTCCTTCCCTCAGGAGCCAGCTGCTATCTGGCTGCAAGGCATTATCTGACTTGAAAGGCTATTTTAAGGAGACTTGAGAATAAGTTTAAAACCTTAAGGGAAATATAGTTGCGTGTGCTTTTGGGAATGGAATTCCAAACTTCAGACTATAGGTCCCTCAGGCAATCAAATGCCCCAAGAAAAACAGGATGAAATCTGGTGCATGAGGAATAAAGTTGCTCAAAAAAGGAAAATTATTGTCAATCTTGCACTGCCCTGGGAGAAAATTAAAGGGAAACAGGATTTTTATCTGAACAAACATTCCAGTTGGTTGCACATTAGTGAGGAGGGAATGATTTGACTGGAAACTGGGTTTTGGAGTCCTGGCAAATGACCAACATTTGGCCTGGCCCTGTAAAGTAACCAGGTAGAAGATTTTAAAAGGGAGGTGAGTTCCTTGTTGGAGCACAAGGTGTTTAGAAACATGATCCATCCTTGTGAGCTATTCCTCTGAACTGCACAGTTCAAGGTGCCTTTTGTTAACATAATCAACAAATTATTTTCCTTACTCTGAGCTTACTGTTCAGGCTTTCTCTGTGCAGCTTTCATCACTGATTCATCCACTTTCCCCTACTCCCCAGTCCAAAGAGAAACAAAATAAATCTGTTCCTTCTGGGCAGTGTGACTTAGAAATGGTATACAACTGCATATCACTATATATGAGAGAGAGAGAGAAAAAGTCACTGATATTTAGGGATCTTTCATTCCCCTCAATTTACTATTTCCCTCCTTAAAGGCCTCACAACTCAACAATAATCATTTTGGCTACTGAGGATGGCAC